AGTGATTCTGTGACGCCAGGTTATCTAAAGGACGGCCTCTTCCCAATTATTTATTTATTTATTAAATTTATATGCCGCCCATCTCCCCCAGAGGGTGATTCTGGGCAGCTTACAATTAAAATCAAACATTAAAAACAATAAAAATATAAATATCCATATTAAATTAGCTAAAGAATAATACTATATGAAAAGACTATATACAATCCAAGATGGCGGGGGGGCAGAATCGATTACCCCACCAGCCAATTCCAACAATATGAGCCATTATCAGGCCCCCAGGCCATCTGGCATAGCCAAGATGTCACACTCTTCCAGAAGGCCAGGAGCGTGGGGGTGGACCGCACCTCAGGTGGTAGGTTGTTCCTCAGAGTGGGGGCCACGGCAGAAAAGGCCCTCCTCCTAGACCCCGCCAGCCGAAATTCCTTGACGGGTGGGGTCTGCAACCTGCCCCTTCTGCCGGACCAAATGGGGCGGGCTGATATAACGGGGGCAAGACGCCTCCTCAGATAACCTGGTCCTGTGCCACGGAGGGCTTTAAAGGTGATGACCAACACCTTGAATTGGACCCAGAAGCAAACCGGCACCCATTGCAGCTCACGTTACAGAGGAATTATATGTGCCCCCCGGGGGCATTCAAAACTGTCCATGCCACTGCATTTTGTGCCAGCTGTAGCTTCCAGATACTCTTCAAGGGTAGTCCCATGTAGAGCGCATTGGAGTTACATCTGTCATGGCATCTGCCCTCTGGAATATCATCCCTCCCAAGGTGAGGTTAGCCCCAACCCTTATGGCCTTCCAGAGAGCCCTTAAAACATGTTTTTTTCAGGAAGCCTGGGGATTCCCTGGTAACAGGGAGCCTGCACTCTCGTTATACTGTATGTAATATCTTTCCTCTCATGGTCTTGTTTTATCTATGCTTATTGTTTTAATGGGTTTGTAAAATGTTTTAATTCCTGGTTTAATTGTACACCACCCAGAGTCACTTTGGGTGAGATGGGCAGCCATATAAATTTGACAAATACATAAATACATAAATACATAAATAAATAAAGTGGATGTAAGTAAAGAGGTTGTGGAAGATGCTCGCAACAGAGTAATAAGAATTATGTTACAGGAGTGTTTGTGGAGTTGCATTAATAGGAAATATGAAAAAAGATGCTTGGTGGAATAATGAAATGAAAGAGTTGTGGAAAAGAAAAAATGCATATAAGAGAAAAATGAGAATGAGAGAATTATAATATGTATAACGCTTATATACATAAAAAAATAGTTGTCAGGAATATAGTACAAGACAGCAAGGACCAGTTAAAAGAGCTAGAGAAAATGCAGAACAATTTTGATGGAAAGAAAAAATTATTTTGGAAGTGGGTGAAAAGGGCTAAACAAGGAGCCTCCAGCAGGGTGAATGGAATCAAGAATAAAAATGATTAAATGATTGTGATGAAACTGAAATGAGGGAATGCTGGAAGGAGTATTTTATTTATATGGTAATAATAGTGATGTATTGAAGATTGGAACTGAAAGCAATGCTATAAAAGTTAGTGTAAAAGGGGGGAAAACAATGAAAAGGAAACAAATGGTCTGGCAATGTTGAAAAATGGTACAGCTGCAGGTGTAGACAGTAACTGGAAAAATGTTAAAATATGGGTATCATTTGCAACTTGTCTAGTAGGTATGAAGATTGTATCAGTGCCTAGAATTTGGAAGGGTGCTCTCACTGTTCCATTATGCAAAGAATAATTAAAAAAAAGACTGATATAAAAACTAATGGGTATTAGTGTCAGGTTCAGCCCAAGAACAACAGCGAGACAGTCCAGAACAGTTTAGCTCCTTTATTAGCTTACACCTAATAGACAGAATCTCACCAGACTAAATCTACACCACCACAACAGGAACTATAACCATGAGGCCCTAGGGAATGAGGGCCAGCCTCATTCTCTTGGCCTTCCCACACTCCGGCTGGGGACCGAGGAGGTGCTTCCCCTGGAATATCTCTCCCCCCTCCTGGCAACCTTGAAGCTCCGTTCCAGAACCTTCCCTGTTCCTGCCTTCCATCACAATTAGTTTGTAAAATGTGCCTGGGAAGGTGTTTGACAGATGTTCTGCCACAAGTGCCTTAATGCGATTGTACATACCACACCACCCCATTTGATCTTCCCATGCTTAGCATTAATTGCTCTATTCATGTTAATGGCTGTAACTGTTTGCCCTCTAAAACCCCAATATTTAGTCAAGCTGATTCAAAGACATCCCGGTGTTCACTGCAGAGACTAGATCCCTGGGGAATCCTCCATTAGAAAATGTGATTGCCAGGCACTAATGGTTTGTCAGAGCAGCTAAGAATCATATCTCTTTTTACCTTACCACTGACCTACCATTTTATCACTCCATATCGTTTTCAGCAACCACCATCTGTTTGGAATGGAAAGGATCTTCTTTTGCATTTCTACTGTATCTGACTCTGCCCCTTTTGCTGGTTAGGTTGCTATGAAGGACATTTATTTTGGATTATAAGAAAACCCTGGAATCTCATCTAATAGGCAGCTTAGCTTAGGTCACACTGGAATGGTATAAACTAAATGGCCTATTAAATGAGATTTAAGTAATGCATGTTTCTTATGAGAAGAAAAAGTAAAAAGAATGACATGTAATTTAAACTTCAATTTAAAATCACCCAGGCTGAATCAGTATCTTGCTGCTTCCATCATGTGTTAACGAGAGCTACCAATAGTCAACCAGTTCCTTTGCTTGGCTTGTTACATTTGCAAAAGGATGGGAAAAGAAATTAGAAGAAAAAAAAGTGGAAGGATTGTCTTGATTGCTCATATTCCTCAAAACCGAAAGTGCCCAACCCTTTGGTCTTAAGAATGCTAGTTTGAATCACACACCCTAGGACTGAATTTCCAAAGCTTTCCTTACTTATAGGGATGAAAAGCTACCAGATTGAATGGCAACCCTAGATGCCCTCTAGTGGCCAGTTTCAGCAGCAACCTAGACACCCTGTACTGATCAGAGTGAACAGCAACCAACTACCCAACCTAGAAATTGCAGCTATTAAGTTAAAACCAACCTGAACGGTGCTATTCATGGCAGATGAACCAAGGGGTAATACCTAATCCCTCCAAGACACTGCAGCAGCCCACCCAAAAGGAAAGACTATTCTTTCCCCCATGGCCAGGGAAGCACTTGAGAAGGTTGTTCTGTTCAAGCAGAAAAGATGTTTGGTCATGATCCAGGAAGAGCATTGAACTCAGTCTCAGTCTGGGACAGATTGGAATATCACTATGGTGCAACCAAATAGAACAGCCCTGCTTAAGAAACCGAAGATCTTTCCAAGAATAGCAGACAGTGGCCTCTGTAAGCTGTGTCATCTACATGAAGTGTTGACTAAGGCGTTAGCAACCAAAAAAGACCCATGTCTAACAGATCTCTCCAATCTTGACATTTCCGGCTAGCAGGGTTCCATTATGAGAAGTTCCCATACTCCATACAAAAAGAGTAGGCATCTGCAATGGTAGACTACAAAGAGCATCAACAAGTTGACCCATCTTTTTCTGTCTTTCTCTGCCCCCAAAATTACTCAGAAAAGAAATCATAATGACCTGGATTTTTTCAAGTCAAGTTGAATGAGGGACATCTAAGCACGGGATAGACCTAAACCAACTATGTCAATGCAAAGACATAGATCACAAGCATGTCCAGGGGCACAGAGGAGTCTTAACAGCTATATCAAGAAAAAGGTTTACCCACTACCCATGTGCAGAGAGTTTAGGGAGAAATTCTTTGAGGAGCCAAAGCTCTGCTGAATGAACATCAGTTTTGTTTTTGATGTGACTGTCTATAGTCCTTCAGCCAGAGTGCAAAATCTCAGGAAATCAAGTGGGATGACTCCAGTGCTGAAAAGCATGTCTCTGCCCTTCACCTGGACTTATGCAAAGGCTACATCAACCAAACAGCTCCTCCCACCAAGGACAGTGAAGACAGCTTTGGAAAGGATGGAGCCAAGCAAGACGCTATGCTTAATAGTGCAGTCTGTGCAACCAGATACACAGATATGCGTGGAGAAGGGCACACAGGAAAAGTCCACCTAACATTTCACTTTAAAACTAGGAAAGCTGACATGTTGCATAGTGATCTCTATTTCCAAAAGTACCCAAGGACCCATATAGGCCCATCTGTTTTCTTTGTCTGTTGGGTGCCATTGAACTGGCACCAGGCCCTGGTGACTGTATGGATGAGTGCCTGCTGTTTGAATTGATCCCCACTGGAAACCAGCAGCTCTTCCAGTGATCCTCTTGAGCCCATCCATCCACTTCATCGGTTGTCTTCTCCTTCTCCTCTTCTCAGCTTTGCCAAGCATTGTAATAAAATACATATTAAGGCTGGCAGTGGCTCAGGACTTTGTTTGAAAGGGCAAAGCATCCGGTGGGGTAAATTGGTCTTTTCCAAGTGGCTGCATCCCACAGGGCAGTCATTGTATGAATGGCCAAGTCCTTC